GTGCTTAAAATTGGTTTAACCCTGGGTTAAAGTTAACCCTTCTACTCTTAAGAGTGGCCATCGTAAAAAAATAAATTTGGTTAGAAGTGAAAGGGCGTTTTGACTGTGACACATTGTATTCACAGATGAAGCTGTTCCACTAAATATCATGTGCGGCCCATCTCAGCTTGGGGAGTCACAGCAGAGGATGGATCAGTGAGCTGAGGAGATGGTACATGGTGATGAAGTCATTTCCTGGAATAACAGCAGAATGCTAACAATCGAAAACGCCATGATGTTATAAATGGACTTTGCAGTGAAAGGTCCATAAAAAATATAATGTGCAAAAACAACAAAAATAGATGTATTCTTAGATAGTAAGGATCCACATTAAATGCAGCTGGGAAAGCGCGAGATGTCTGTTTGTCGACGTGGATTTTCCCAATTATTGCTTGTTTAAGCAGCAAATAAACTCACTCCGGAGGTTGAATTTAAAGGCTTATTTTGTGGAAATGATTTTACCATCACGCAAGCTTTTTTTAATTTTATATAGTCTAATATGCAAGTAAATGCACATTTTTACATGGAAGAAAATTCCTGTAATTTGAAGGAATTACCGATGCTCTGGAGACATTTTTGTCAATATGTGAATTTCTATCTGGAACTTCACTAATTGTATTTTTACTCGTTTAAGGTGAATTTATTAGCTTTTAAAGCTATGAGATTAGTTCTTCAAAAGTCCCTGCAGGAAGTGTTCAATAAAGATTGTATTGTAAAGTACATTGCACTGATTTTCTCTGAGCAACAACGTCTGCATGCGTCAAACCAAGCAAAGTATTATAACAGAAAGTGATTAGAAAAAAGGCGTTTCGAAAATAATTCATCTTGCTTTTCTCAGTCGAAAAATTTGTAAGAAAATAAACAAGTTGGTTAATAGACGAAGGAATCACGCGCTTTTGTGCTGTCTCACTTGTTAATCTTTTGACTTTTTTTTATTTCCACGGTTACATTGCCCGATCTACTTTATTAACGAAAAAATACTGACTGGGGGTTACTCACCCTCTTTATGATGAATTGATGTCTTTCTTTTTCGTCCAGGTCCAGTTTGAAAGTGATTGTAATTTCATAAGCGTGTGCCCTTTGGTTTGACTTAGTCACCCGCGGCTTTTCAAAGTGTCTGCGTTGAATTGAGTAGTGGTTTGCAACCACAACTTGTGGATATTCTTGAAAAATGCCTCAAAATATAGGTCAAAAGCACTGCCACTGCATGAAATTCACGTATGTATATCACAACGTGAAGTACCTGAAAAACCATTTGGCTACCCACCGGCAGAAATTCTTATTAGTGCCCTATTTCATTATTGGCCTGTTAGTACGACATAATCTAGACCATATATTGGGAAGAACGACAGCAACGATAGCGAAAACGTCACCGAAATTCGCGCTGTTTTACACTTCACCGCTCTAGTTCCATCTCTTTCAGTTAGTCTAGAGTTGGCGAATTTTTCAGAAGTATATTATGCTTTGGAGGATTCTAAATTGCATGTTCTTCTGTCATTGGGGTCATGAAGCCAGTCTTTCCTGTACATCGATTTCCTGTGGCTTTTGGTTTTAAAAGAATTTTGCTTTCGGCAGCACTTTGCATTTCCGATGAAGCGCTTTATGCAGTAGTTGATCCATTCGATGATTTCGAATGCATAGGTTTTTGTAAAAAATAGTTCACTCCTCTTCATTAGAAATGAGAGCTCTTCTTTTCTTCTTATTTACGAAGCAAATAAGAAGAATTTTTTTTCGTTGATTTTTGTACGTCCATGGACAAAATTCGTGCCTCATTTCTTCTCAATAACCACGCAGCAGAGAACACATGCACCCGCAATCGGTGCAGCAAACATCAGAAATCTCACTTAACATTTTTGTTTCCGGAAAGAAATCTTTTGTTTATAACAGTTGGCAAGCACCTCTGGTTCCCGGGGAATTCTGAGATTCATTTATTAATCACAACACCGGAAATTACTTACGTCATGGCATTAACTTAACAGCCAATCAGAGGCTTTCCCCGACAGTACGGGAAAACCAGAACACTATTAAGGACGGCGCGACACAGACGTCCCTTTTCTCGATTTTTTCTTCTGAGGGAAGGGGGCGGCTGCACACAAGCTAATGGTGAGCAGCAAATTCGTTTTATTCTCCGAGTTTAAGAATGGCGCTATACGGACGATCTTTCGGCGATCTTGCGAAAATTGTTTTGAAAGTAGTGCTGGGGTCTTGCGTCTGGCTTGGCCTCCTGTGAATTTGCTCTGTTTGAACTCTTTTTAAACTCGTTTTTATTTGCTCATTTCTTAGTGATGGCGCTGTGGGGTCGCAGAGGCCTCGGTACAATGTGTAGTTAGTTTTTACTTGTTAATGTTTCAAAAAATCGTTTTGTAGTCTTCCTTTGACGTTCATTTTGTGAAGAAGTTTCAATCTAATACATCTGCTTCCAATCACTGTAAAAATTTAAATTAAGACTAACAACAAAAAGAACTGGTCCTCCTCGGTCAGCTGTTAGGGACCTTATAAGATGCGAGGATGGCGACAGCAGGTAAAACGTCGTGAATTNCGCAGAGGCCTCGGTACAATGTGTAGTTAGTTTTTACTTGTTAATGTTTCAAAAAATCGTTTTGTAGTCTTCCTTTGACGTTCATTTTGTGAAGAAGTTTCAATCTAATACATCTGCTTCCAATCACTGTAAAAATTTAAATTAAGACTAACAACAAAAAGAACTGGTCCTCCTCGGTCAGCTGTTAGGGACCTTATAAGATGCGAGGATGGCGACAGCAGGTAAAACGTCGTGAATTCGCGGTTTTTCAATCTTCATCGCGATTATTCCATCTCGCTTACTTTGTCGAAAGTACGCGAACCCTCCTGGAGTTGAATTCCTAAAAGCTATATACAAGTTAAGAAAGAGAATGAAAATTTCGTCGTTGCTTCTTTATATCCCCTATAAAACATGATATTAGGCATTTTCATGTCGTAGTCGTGCAGAAACGGAAAAGAAATGTACAAAGTGTCATGCACGTGCAAAGTTGTTGTTTCGCTAATTAAACCTATTGCTTATATGAAGTTCTCGTTGCCGTCGCCGTCATCTGCGGGGGCGTCTACGTATATGTTGTATTTGTATCATGAACTTCGTTTTAGTTTCTTTCTTGTTTTCCCCATTTCGCACATTTTCACATCCGTGATTACATAGCCTGGGTGCTTGAGGAAAAAAATGCTGATAATGGGTTGCTCAAACTGATTTTTATCCAAAGGCCATTTTGCGTGCCAGCAATTGTAATTTCATTACCTTGTGCCCTTTGGATTCACTAAGTCGCCTGCGACTTTTTTAAGAGTCCGTGTTGATTTGAGTAGTAGTTTGTAACCACTATTTGTGTACTTGCACGACACCAAGGTACCACTTTTTTTAAACTTTCAACTACTTCCTACAGCGGCTTGCCAAATGCCTCAAAATATACACGTCAAAACCACTAATACCGCATTAAATTCGTATGTAGATCATGACGCCAAAAGGAGCACTTAGTGTGTCATGATTCTTGACCTGTTAGTTAGTGCGATGTAATCATGACTATATGTTAGACAGAAATGGTTTGAAAATTAAAAGGGCTGTCTGACGAGATTTCTTTCAAGGTTTCGTAGGTCTGGGATCAAGCCTTTCCGTCCCGTTGTTTCGTTACACAATAAACTTTGCCCAACTGTCTTTCTTCAGCCTGGTGTATATGTGGGAACCAGTCACATAATGGTAGGGTAACCCTGGGATTGACTAGCATCCCATCCAGAAAAAAGTAATTCGTGGTACAAAAATCGGGTTGAGCTCCGCCCTTGCGAGCCTTATTGGCTCGTATACGGCTTAACCTTTACGTTACGTTGGAGTCGTATGCACAGAGGACAAATGGGGAGAAAACGCGGTTATTATGCCACCACTTGCTAAATACTAAAGTCCAAGAAAATTGATCAAAAGTTGAGGGGTTAGCTTCTGTAGAAGACAAAACGTGAAAAAGAGGCTGTTTCAGAATCACTTCCTGCTCATCCTGACCTGGTACGACAAACCTTGTTACTATAAATAAAAGCCGATAGTTTATTCTTTTGTATGTTAATTGTGCCAGGTGGTCTTTTTCCCATCAAGTTCGTGTGCTTCAGGTAGTCACCTGCAACACCCAAGTCTACTAAAGTTTCTATCTGCTATTCGGCAACAGGAAATGGCAGCAGTTCTGGTGAAACAACCTTCGTTTTAGTGTCATGCTCAATCTGAGAGTTGCAATTAGAAATACTCTTCGTTATAAACTGAAAATATCGGGCAAGTTAATAAATTCAGCCCAGTCACTATTTCACAGCGGGTAAATACAGACGCTTGAAATAGCCATGAAAGTTTAAATCACTACACAAGAGTTTCACGCGTCTCTTTCTTATTCAGTGTGCCTTATCAATGGAAACAGTACAACACTACGGTATTGTCCAAATTCCACTATTCTCCCAACTAAAAGAAAATTCACTGCACGGGTAACATAAAGAAAATTTGATATACGGTTTATTGTTTGTATTTCTTGTCATTACCAACGGGAAATCTCCATTTGCCCTGTACGTAAGGTGTCGTAAAAAAGTCTATTGAATGTGTGCGTCCTAGCTTGAGTTAACAAGCCATTACATAATTAACCTGGCCGTCAGGGTAAGGCGGCCTCTTGCTGATAACCGAGTGTTACAGTCATGCACAGATCGCAAATCACTACCTTTATAACCACGGTAGAGTATTATTTACTATATGTGCGAAGTAAATACTAAACGCTAGGAGCGCTTTGAAGAACGAGGCATAACACAGTCGAGGTTTTTTTTTATTCAGTGAGGTGAAAATGAAATGGTCGGTATTCGGGAGTTTAGGTGAGAACGATTTCTTCTGTCCTGGCAAGTTCATGTTGTATAGCTTCCAATCCAGAGTCTGAAAAAGGACAGTCACCCATGCACTAGAGTAGCTAGAAGTTCCACGAAAATTATCTTCGGGTTTTGAGAACATTCCTACGAATCTGCTGATTTAAAATGCTGCCAGCCCACATCCACAACCATTCGGGACAGAATCCAAGGAACCATGCCTGAAAACAAACAACCACAAACAAAATATACTTGACTGGCAAAGATTGGCCTCTAGCATGAATTGTAAGCTGATAAGTGTAACAGCTTCCGGTAAAGCTGTGGAAAAATTTCAGATTTGATTGACGTAACTTTAGTGACGCTTTTAGTTAAGCATATATGTAGCTCGCATTTCAGTTTCATCTAAGACCCCTTGTGAGAAAGATCAAATTGAGATTGTCGCTAGTTTCTTGTGCTGTTAAGTTTCATTACATGTACCACGTGCGCATTGAGCAATTATAATTATGATCAGGCTGTGAACGTAACAATACTTAGACTATTTCTTAACGTAATCTTTTCAGTCGACCGCTTCACTTCAGTGTAAAGACCAAAGGAATAAAGAAGTTGGAAGAAAACGATCCTTCTGGTCAATTGAACTTTTAGGAACATTGAACTAGCGCGTAACACAACACGGGTACCGAGAATTAAATAAGATTCCGTTACAATAAGACCAGTCGGTTTATTTGATAGGAGTTACAATATTTATGTGTCATGTGTCTCCTTAGAAGAGGAGAGTCACAACGACAGTATCTGCATAGCATGATTTCAGTAGGCAAAGGCTGTAAGTAAGGGGAGGGGATTAAATCTAGGCGTCAGTGTGTCCGGGCTCACTCCTAATTAAACCTATTAACTGAATGTCTATTTTTTACATCTATGAAAATAAAAAGCGGGGGGCGGGGACTTCTAGACTGCTTCTATCTAGATCTCGAGTGACTAGTCCAGCTGGAAGGCAGGCTAGAAACTTCTTGACTACTAACGAAAAGGGGTGGGATGGTTGAATTCGTTAAACCTTTTTTTGCGCTTAGCGCTCGTTCTATTTCTCCACACACGTCTGTGAACAGGGGTCTTTTTAGGTAAGTAGAGTAGGTAGGTGGTAGTACCTGGATCTCGTGATTCCAGTAACCTGTATTCCGTGTCGACAATTCTAGTGTTCGAAGAGCATTCTTTACGTACTTCTCTGGAGAAGGAACAAAAACGTTTGGCTTGGTGCCATATGTCATCGCTGTGGCGATATAAAATGGTCTCAGTGACTGTGAAGAGAAGAAAAACAAACAAGTATTTACAAGTCAACTGCCACAGCCGCGCGTCACTGGGAATGAGCACCCAAGTAAGCACATGGAGGAGCTCAAAGCCCTTTTGAAGTCAGTGATAAAAAGACTTTAACTAGAAGACAGATTTATAAATAGTACACACCTATCAAAGTCGTCTATTTTTACCATGCCTACAACTTTAGCTGATTTGCGTGATACAATAAAATAAATGATATTGAATTTTTCACCAACAAAACAACAAATGGATGTGTGTTACTTCATTTAAAACGTGACAAGCGGAAAGTCCAAGTATGCTAGATTATTACTTTTTTACCATATGCCCTCTTCAAAAGGCGAAGACGATCTGACATGTAGGTGTATTTACCCACTCGAGTTTATAGAATGTCGGTAAAACAAACCTGAACTTTGACACCTTGTGAAGAATACTCATAAGCCAAAGCACGAGAAAAGCTGTCGACAAACTCCTACAAAAAACATAAGTAATAACGCCATAGTTAATTGGTTCGAATCCTGTCAGACCCAAGATCTTTTATTTTGTCCCAGGCTAGTATCAGTAATGACACAATGATTACTGTATCCTCCTTATTCACTTCATAGATTACGATTAACTTCCAAATTTTAAGCAAGGTTTTCTTGTCTATGAAATTTTATAAACACTTGTCGAGCCTTTACCTAGAGATCCAGTTTTGTTAAACCAATTTGATACTCAAAACAAATCTGTAGGAAGGTTAATACAATTGTGGATTGAAATTTTCATCCTGGATCAGTGCTTTTTGGCCTTTCAGCAAAAGGGCCCGGGAGTTTAGTCCGATGCGCATACTATTCTTTATACTTCTTGCATAAATTCTATAACACAAAGTAACGTTTTCAAAGAAAACAAATGAGTAAACAACCTTAGTTGCAGCATAAGCTGCGATCTGAGGAGTTGGCAGCAGACCAGCACTAGATGACATGTTAATGATAGCACCACGCTTCCTGCATGGAGACAGCAAAGAAAACCTTGTAAGAGGTACAAAAACACTGAGATGATGTCTGTTTCAGAGGTATGATGTGACCAGTATCGAGGCCTACCTTTTGCACATGTGGGGTAAAACAATACAAGTCATCTGAAAAGCAAAGTGTTGCTGATTATCACCCATATTAGGCAGCAAGATAAATATTTTGAGTTACTACAGAGTAGTTTGAGTATAGCAAAGGTAGAAAAATGTAATTGACACAACTTGGTTAAGACAGAGGCAGACATCTCCTTGTGAAAAGCGCATTATTAAGGCCATGAAATGGTTTCCTAGCACACTGGACATCACAAGAAGAGGGTAGGTGCCCTTAAATGCTTGGGGTTCTAATTTACTACAAACACATACCTGAGGTGATCTACTAACCCACATTTTTAAATGGGTCCCCAGAAGCAATCAAGCCATGAGTACCAAACCCTCCCACTACCTTAGCAACCATCACACTAATACCATATGATTTGATAAGAATAACAGACTGTTCACAGTCCCCTATTTTTTTATAGGATCATCAAGATTGAGTGCTTACCATAAATGGCTGCAGTCTTGGTTCAAATGTACCCACATGATCAGGCATTGGGATTTGAGTAAGTGGCTGTGTGTAACGGTAGGAGTAAAAAAAACTATAGAGGAAGAAATAGTTCCAGGAGATACAGACCGGGTCTTCAAAAGGGGAGAGTGAAGGTGGGAGAAGCTGTAAAACACCATACAAATCAAAAGTTATGCTTACAAATAATGTTGCTGTGTAGGCACGTGCAATGGTACAGAACATACCGCTGAACCAGCCTCATTACCCAAGTGCAGCAATACAAACACCGTTAACAAACATCGCAGAGTGGACATTTGTGTTCCCAAGTTCCTAAGTTAACTAACATTTAACCATATTCATACTTACCATTATCACAGAAGTCATGTTAACATTTATCAGGTCATAAAGTTTCTGTCATGATATAAAAAAAATATAAAAGTTCTTACTATAAATTATGTACTTCAAATATTTCCTGTTGGCTGAGGTCCGTTTTCCCTGGTATTCAGCAGGCAAATACCAGGAGGGAACAAATAATATGCACCACGTAAACTTTGTCAAGAAATAAATGAAACTCAAAACGTACCTTATCAGGGACATCAAGAAAGTATTGTGGGTAGTCATACATTACACCAACATTGTTCACTGTCAAAAATTTAAAACAGGGGAGTGAGAAAGTTCCAGTTTAAATCAAGTGGAACTTAATCTAGCAAAACAAAAATTGGTACTTAAAATTAGGGGACAATTTTGAGTTATGGCTATGAAGAAACTTGCCCCACAATTTTAGCCTCAAAAAGTCCACACTAACAATGTAAACCAATGCTTATAATTTCATCTGATAAGAATGGGGTTCCAGATGAAGATTTCTTTGAGTTGGTGTTTCTCCATATTGTTAATTAAAGTAAGACCTTAGGTCGCAGTAGAGCAAATTTTGTTTATTAAAGTACCTCACCTGTCAACACATCACGAAAATTAAGTGCAACCCAAATAAAAGATTCTATCCAGTTTTTTATGAATCTGCCAATGTTCAAAGAAATCAAAGTGCTGCCTTGGAGGCACCATTCCCCTCCTACTAATTGCATATACCCAATATACCCGGCAACTTGAAATTTTAGTGACAGCCCTGCAACAGCATAAAGGAAGGTTGATAGTCTCCAGTATTAGAACCACTATTAAAACTGCCATGGAATTTTGTTGTGAAAATAAAAAGCGGCAATCTACTCTCCTGTTACGTTTTCTCATAGTTTTCTCTGAAGTGTGTAATGCAAGAAATTTCCTTGAAGATGGTCTGTGATTGATATATGTCAGTCAGTGAAGTTTTGGAATACATGATTCTTGTGTAATGCGATCTGCATTAAAATTGGGAAACTTTTTTCTCCCAAAAATTATTGCCAAATTTTTGAAGTTAAAAAAGTTTGCTCTAGTGCGACTGTGGCCCAGGCCTTTTTAGAAAAGTTCAATTTTTGTTGCAAATTTGGGCAGTGCAACAGCAAAAATGACATGCTCTCTATAAAATCAACCACAAACATAGAAATTCATGTTCCTTGGTGGCTTCAGTGCATTGTACATTTGATCTTTGTTATCTTTCGTCTAAAATCTGTCAATTCAGAGAAGGAGTATAATTCTGAAAGGATTCTGAACAGATTTACATCAACAGTGTGAAATTTTGGAGGGTAAGGTTGAGCTACAGCTTATTTAAAAACGCATATAATTTTATGTCAGACACATACCAAGAATACCAATTTCCAGTCCTTCTAGTGATGAAGAAATGTTTGCATAAACATCCTGCAAGCCAAAGTCCACTTGGATAATGCGTGTCTGGACTTTAAATTCCTTTTCTGTGAATGGAAGGCAAAAAAAAATTTGTTACATTAAACAAACTTTAGTTAACGTTGGTTATCATGACTAAAAACGGCTACTACCTGTATAAAAGAAAATTGAGAATCAACTAACGTAGGCTGAGACCATGATAACTTGAATTTTATTTTGAGCAGTCAGCTACAGCATTTATTATTACATATTAATGTTTACTAACCAATAGCCTCTGCAACTTTTTCCAGCTTTTGTGTTGATCTACTCATAAGAACAATATTCATTCCAGTTCTGGCCAACTAAATAAATACAAAAATACACCAGTAGGTCAAGAGCAACTAAGCTTTTATTTTGTGCAACAAGCACATACCAACTTAAACCCAGTCTCAATAATCTAATCAATGAATAACCCCTTCTGTAGTTAAGGCAAATGACTGAGACATTGTCCATAATGAGACAAGAAAGGGATGTGAGAGGCAGAGGATCATTATAATTTTCATAATTTTCTGCAGAGGGATTCATAAAAAATTTACATTTTCCAGAGAGATAGCAATGGTGCCAAGGCTGTCATTATACAAGAGCTGGGATGGAGAGATATTTGACCTTGTTTAATAAAAGTTTGAGCTCTGGCTTCTATGTTCTACTAAGTATTAGTATTAAAACATAACAAAATTCAAATGTAACAGTAGAGTCCATATCCATCTCCTATCATTTTAAGCTTAACTGCCCATGGGCAGTTAGAATTCTTGGTGTTTGTTGACTTCAGACACTTGCCACTTAGTTTATGCAAAACAAGTTTTTTCATTTTGAATTTAATACCTGTACGTTTAGTTTTCATAATAATATAGTTTGTCACACTTAAATTTAAAGTATGGGTGAAGCATATCAGATGAGATTAGAGTTATTTACTAATACTCAAAATCCATTCTGGTATGTATTAT